GCCCCCTTGACCCTGTCCTCTCACAACTTCTCCGGTCAACCCTCTCCTCCATCCTGCGCTCCCTCTCCCACATCTTCAATCTCTCCCTCTCTACTGGTGCATTCCACTCCCCCCTAAAGCATGCGCACATCACCCCCATACTCAAAAAACCCTCCCTGGGACCCCACTGACCTGACCAACCTCAGACCCATCTCACTGCTGCTGCCTTGGAGAGCCCACCTCACCGACGACAACCTCCTCGATCCCCTACAATCCAGCTTTCGCCCCCAACATTCCATCAAAACCACCCTACTCAAATCACTAACGACCTGCTATCCGCCAAAGCTAATGGACACTACTCTGTCCTCCTTCTCCTCGACCTCTCCACGGCCTTTGACACAGTTGACCACCCCCCTCCTCCTTAACAAATTACACTCTCTTGGCATCAGAGACTCCGCTCTCTCCTGGCTCTCCTCCTACCTATCCCAAAGCTCCTTCAGCGTTACCTATAACGCTACCACCTCCCCCTCTCTGTTGGGGTTCCCCAAGGCTCCTTCTCTTCTCCATCTAAACCTCCTCCCTCGGCAAACTGATACACTCCCACGGCTTCAACTATCACCTCTATGCCCATGACACGCAAATTTACCTCTCCACCCCTCACCTCACCCCTTCAGTCTCCGCCCGTATCACCCACCTACTGAATGACATATCAGACTGGATGTCACTCCATTTCCTCAAACTGAACCTTTCCAAAACCGAGCTCCTAATTTTCCCCCCCCCCCCCCCCCCCCCCCCCGACCTCTCCATCACAACCAACAACGCTACCATCAGTCCCACCCAGCAAGCCAAGGTCCTATGTGTCATCCTAGACTCTAACCTGTCGTTCCAACCCCATGTCCAATCGCTGGCAAACGCTTGCAGGCTCCACCTCTGCAACATCTCCAAGATACGTTCGTTCCTAACCCCAGACACCACTAAACTACTCGTTCACTCCCTTATTATCTCACGCCTGGACTACTGCAACTACCTCCTCACCGGCCTCCCTCATCACAGACTATCCCCGCTTCAGTCTATCCTGAACTCAGCGGCCAGACTCATCCACCTCACCAACCGCTCCACTTCTGCCACCCCCCTCTGTCATTCCCTCCACTGGCTCCACCCCCCTCTGTCATTCCCTCCACTGGCCTCCACTCAGTGTCCTCCACCCCCCCTCTGTCATTCCCTCCACTGACCTCCACTCAGTGTCCTCCACCCCCCTCTGTCATTCCCTCCACTGACCTCCACTCAGTGTCCTCCACCCCCCTCGGTCATTCCCTCCACTGGCTCCTGATTGCCCAAAGCATTAAATTCAAACTACTAACACAGACATACAAAGCCATTCATAATGCTGCCCCAAACGACCTCACCGACCTGATACCCAAATACCACCCAACCCGTAATCTTCGCTCCTCACAAGACCTCCTACTCTCTAGCTCCCTGGTCTTCACCTCCCATGCCCGACTTCAGGACTTCTCCAGAGCTTCCCCCATCCTCTGGAACTCACTTCCCCAATCCATCAGATTGTCCCCTACCTTCTCACCTTTAGGCGCACCCTAAAAACCCATCTCTTCAGGGAAGCTTACTCCGCCCTCACACCTAACAGCCGATCCCCTCCACTCCTCACTCCATTCCATCCCCCACAGCCATCTCCTCCTGTACCACCATCCCCTCCCTCCTAGACTGTAAGCTCAAAAGAGCAGGGCCCTCTAACCCCTCGTGTATTGTATTGTTACTGTATTGTCTCATGTCTTGTCCCACATTCTAATGTACAGCGCTGAGCAAACCCTTTGGCATTATATAAAATACTGAAAAATAATAATAGACACCTTGTTCATTCACTGACAAATTGTTCAAATGGATTTTGTGTATTTTTTATTTTCATACAAATGGTACCAATTCCACTGGTTGTTTGTAACATGGGAACCTTCTTATCATCATCTGCCATAGCCCTCCCCCCCATCTTTCTCCATTCCACCCCCCCAATAAGTACTGACCCCTTTCTGATCTGTCTACCCCATTATAATCCCTGATGTACAAGAAGACAGGACTTCAGTGAGGAAAATTTCCCTCACTCAGGACAAGAAAGTGGCATCTCCCCCGTGTGAGATCTCTGATGTGTGTAAAGATTGGACTTCTGTGAAAAACATTTCCCACACTCAGGACAGGAATACGGCTTCTCTCCCGTGTGAGATCTTTGATGTCTGTAAAGATTGGACTTATCTGAAAAACATTTTTCACACTCAGGACAGGAATATGGCTTTTCTCCCGTGTGAGATCTCTGATGTGTGTAAAGACTGGACTTATCTGAAAAACACTTTCCGCACTCAGGACAGGAATAGTGGCTTCTCCCCATGTGAGATCTCTGATGTGTGTAAAGAAGGGACTTCACTGAAAAACATTTCCCGCACTCAGGACAGGAAATGGCTTCTCCCCCATGTGAGATCTTGATGTGTGTAAAGATGTGACTTTTGTGAAAAACATTTCCCGCACTCAGGACAGGAATATGGCTTTTCCCCCGTGTGAGATCTCTGATGTTTGTGAAAGATGTGGACTTTCTGTGAAAAAATTTTCCACACTCAGGACAGGAATACGGCTTTTCCCCCGTGTGGGATCTTTGTTGTACAAAAGTGGACTTCACTGAAAAACATTTTCCACACTCAGGACAGGAATACGGCTTCTCACCGGTGTGAGATCTTTGATGTGTATAAAGATGGTACTTCACTGAAAAACATTTCCCACACTCAGGACAGGAATATGGCTTCTCCCCTGTGTGAGATCTCTGATGTGTTTAAAGATGGAAACTTCTGAAAAAACATTTCCCACACTCTGGACAGGAATATGGCTTCTCCCCTGTGTGAGATCTCTGATGTCTGTAAGATATGGAGAATTCTGAAAAAAAACATTTCCCACACTCATGGACAGGAATATGGCTTTTCCCCCGTGTGAGATCTTTGATGTCTGTAAAGATCATACTTCACTGAAAAACACATTTCCCGCACTCAGTACAGGAGAAGCTCTTCCCTGTTGGAGGGTCGGCCCGGTCCCGCACAGTCTGAGGTTCCTCAGGATACAAGGAATCCAATGGTCCATCTACACTGGGTGGTGCCGGATGGACATTGGAGGGAGCCGGGTTTTCTCCTGGACTATACTGTGTGATGTCCTCATCTTCTACTTTCCAGTCTGGAGACAAAGTGAGACAATCCTCGGAGGTTTTCCCTCATCTCCCGGCCATGGACTAAAATACAAAGACAAAGAGGATTACTAGACAGGAGCTGATTGGTTCCCCCAAACCAGGACTCCGCCCACATCAGGCAGCTTGGTCTCTGAGGAGCTTACAATTCCACCCATTAAGTGTACTAGGAAATGGCTCCTCTGATCTCCTACCAGGTCATTTCTTTATTCATGGACCTTAGTCAGAGAGTGAGGAAACAACCAGAACTGTCTTTTATAGGAGGGGGACAGTGATGAGGGGATTATAGAACGAGGGTCCCCACCCCCTCTATCACTCATCGCCATCTTCCCAACACAAGAAGTACTGCACTTCCTTATTTAGTCCATGATTTAGTCATGAAGAACAGCGGGGCTGAGCCCCACCAGAGGTCAGAGAGTGAGGATGGGGAGAACAACCAAGATGAAGACAGGACTGATCCTGAAGACCACCATCATTGGGGTATTGACTCCTCCCTCATTATCACTTTCTGTTTAAGGGTCCAAAGTTGGAGGATGTTATCACATTATTATCACCATGTAAAAGTCTGTGCTCCAATCACGTCATCCGATATAAAATGTCCAGCTGGGAGGAAATGGGGGGAACAAAAGAGAATCCATATTATGTGTATATATAGAAGTGGGGGAGGGGGGAGAGCAGAAGTCAGGACTATGGAATGTACAACATAGAGTAAAAAGTGCAGGGGTCAGCAGTATGTAATGTACAACATGGAGTATATAGTGCAGGGGTCAGGAGTATGTAATGTACAACATAGAGTATATAGTGCAGGAGTCTGGAGTATGTAATGAACAACATAGAGTATATAGTGCAGGGGTCAGGAGTATGTAATGTACAACATAGAGTATATAGTGCAGGGGTCATGGTAGGAGTATGTAATGTACAACATAGAGTATATAGTGCAGGGGTCAGGAGTATGTAATGTACAACATAGAGTATATAGTGCAGGGGTCAGGAGGATGTAATGTACAACATAGAGTATATAGTGCAGGGGTCAGTGGAGTATGTAATGTACAACAGGTCAGGGGTCAGGAGTATGTAATGTACAACATAGAGTATATAGTGCAGGGGTCAGGAGTATGTAATGTACAACATAGAGTATATAGTGCAGGGGTCAGGAGTATGTAATGTACAACATAGAGTATATAGTGCAGGGGTCAGGAGTAATGTAATGTACAATATAAATTATACAGTATAAGGGTCAGGACTCATAATATTGGTATTCAGTAATCAGTGGAAGCTTAAATGTTTACTGTAGACAAGTTGCAGAGATCCCACACCGCTGCCTCCCATCTCCTGAGACTGCACTCAGTGACTTGGGTCTGAGACACTACAGACATATCCCTCCACCCGGCACAGCCAGCAGATAACAGAGAAGGTCCCCTGGAAGAGTCAGGCACAAGGCAGGAGACCCCAGTCACATGTCCTGGGTGCCTACATTATGCAATGCTTAGAGTAAAAATCAACATTTTGCTGCCAGCTGAACCCCAGAACCTCCATAAATCCAGTCTAGAGACATAAATTGTGTCTGCAGCACAGAGAAGGAAGATTATCCGAGAGAAATCCAGGAATACAGGACGGGGAACACAGCTCAGGAAAGTGACCAGGGGATTACAGGCTGATATCACCCAGTCCCCGCCTACTCTGGACCAATCAGTGAGCAGTATGGGTGGAGGAATGGATTTAGTGTTCATGACCCACCTGTGCTGATCTCTGTAGGAGTGTCCCTCCTCTATAAATGTCCCCGTTATTCCATCCTCCTCCATATAGACTGCTGATCATCCCTCACATATACGCCTCTTCTTCTTCTTCTGCTTTCACCTCAAATTCTATATCGATTGGATCTCCACTCTAAATCAAGGAAATGAGAGAAAATATCATCTGTAATTTATAAACTCACATTAAAAAAATCCACAAATTGTCTTCATCAGTCCATGTTCTAGTTACTCTGTCCCACTGACCTTGAAATACTGAGGGATGGTGTGACCTTCCTGTGTGGAATCCCGGGAATACAGAGGACGGGGACATCTCTCTGGGGGGTTCCTGGTATTAGGTGGCTCCATTTCATATCCTTGTGTCCTTCTGAAAACTCCTCCCATCACTCCATACTCCTCATCCTCCTCTTTATACTTCATTCTTTAACATCAATTATTCTCATCCCCGAGGATTCCACTCTGAAAGATATAATAAAACATTCATTGTAACAAACATGCTGTGTATAAATCACAACTACCAATAATTGTCATCATCTACCTGATGATGGTGAGGGATGGTGTGGACCTTCCTGTGTGGAATCCCGGGAATACAGAGGACGGGGACATCTCTCTGGTGGGTTCCTGTAGCTGGATGACTCCACTATGGTGTCTCCCTGGTACAGATCTTTGTGTCTTTTAGAAGCTCTGACTCCTCATCCCCCCATCCTCATCCTCCTCCTCTTTTATCTCTTCTTTAACCTCAATTTTAGGATCTCTCAGGTTTCCACTCTGAAAGTATATAATAAAAATGCCATCAATGGTAACAATGCAGATAATGTACAGATCCTAATGATACTATCAGTGATTGTTCCTCATCTACCTGATGATGGTGAGGGATGGTGTGACCTTCCTGTGTGGAATCCCGGGAATACAGAGGGACGGGGACATCTCTCTGGTGGGTTCCCATGACTGGATCCATCTGTAGGAAACACACACACTGACTGAATCCATTGTTTCTATGTGTTTATCAGATGATGGGGGATCTAGGTGGATCCTCCGTACTGCTCTCTCCTTTACAATAAAGTCTCCTCTTACCCGGTGATGTGAGGGGCGGCTGATTGTCCATCATGACGTCCTTGTAGAGATCCTTGTGTCCTTCTAAATACTCCCACTCCTCCATGGAGAAATAGACAGTGACACCCTGACACCTATAGGAACCTGACACACACAATGATACAGTCACCATCCAGACACATCCCTTGTCTGTTACTGGAGAATGTCCCAGAATTCCCGGCACCGCTCACCTCTCCTGATCAGCAGCTCAGTGATCTCTCTGGTGACTTCTAGAATCTTCTTCTTCTTTCTCTCTTCTATCAGGGAGGGAGGTGGAGGAGGCAATGTGATGTCATATGATCTCCAGACTTCACAGGAGGGTTCTAGGACATTGGGAGGAGGAGCTGTGAGGTCAGTGTGTGATGTCATAGGATTCTCTGACTCTGGATGGGAGGGACATTGGGAGGAGGAGCTGTGAGGTCAGTGTGATGTCATAGGATTCTCTGACTCTGGATGGAGGGACATTGGGAGGAGGAGCTGTGAGGTCAGTGTGATGTCATAGGATTCTCTGACTCTGGATGGAGGGACATTGGGATGGAGGAGCTGTGAGGTCAGTGTGATGTCATAGGATGAGGCTCCTGTTATGGAGGGACATTGTTCTCTGGATGTGATGTCGGGACATTGGGAAGAGGAGCTGTGAGGTCAGTGTGATGTCATTCGGATTCTCTGACTCTGGATGGATGGACATTGGGAGGAGGAACGGAGCTGTGAAGTCAGTGTGATGTCATAGGATTCTCTGATTCTGGATGGGGGGACATTGGGAGGAGGAGCTGTGAGGTCAGTGTGATGTCATAGGATTTCCATCCCCCCAAACTGGATCACTGCAGTGGGGAAAATGCTGGTAATGAGGTGAGGAGGTGAGACCTCTCCACAATGAGGTGATGTCATAGGAATGTTCTGCTCCTGAAGGGGGACATTGGGAGGAACTAGATGTGTGTATCATCATGTGAGGAGATCAAGACGATCACAGTGATATGGAGGAATTGAGGACGGACATGACTGTGGAGGAGGAGGAGTGACGTGATATGGACATTGACTCTGGACGGATGTGGGAGGACAGGACGGACGTGGAGGAGGAGCTGTGAGGTCAGTGTGATGTCATAGGATTCTCTGATTCTGGATGACGGACGAGGACATTGGGAGGAGGAGGAGGTGACATGGAGAAGAGTCATGTGAGGATTCTGATGCAATATATTCTCTGGATGTGAGGGACATTGGGAGGAGGAGCTGTGAGGTCAGTGTGATGTCATAGGATTCTCTGACTTCTATGGGGGAATTGGGAGGAGGAGCTGTATGGAGGAAGTGTGATGTCATAGGATTCTCTGACTCTGGATGGAGGGACATTGGACGGAGGAGCTGTGAGGTCAGTGTGATGTCATTATGGAGGGATTCTCTGACTCTGGATGGAGGGACATTGGGGGAGGGCTGTGAGGTCAGTGTGATGTCATAGGATTCTCTGATCCCCCTGTGAACTAATAAATGTATTGATATAATCCATCATGGCTGTAAACTGCTGAAAAAACTGAGGGAGAAAATCCTGTATTATAATAATAATAATAACATCTTATTACCTCCTCCCTGCCAAGTTCCACCAATGTCTTTTCTCTGCTTCCTCCTGCCTCACCTCTCACTGAGCTTCCCACATACATCACTTCCTGTCTGTGTGACATCACTTCCTGTCTGTCTTCCATATAGACTTCCTGTCTGGGTAGAAGTGAGATCCCCACCTTGTGAGGAGGAAGAGCAGCCCGGAAGCGTCTGGTAGTGTGACCCGGCCTGTGCTGGAGGAAGTATGGGACTGTAGATCCTATGGAGAAGGGACGGACGTGACTATGGAGGAAGAGGACAGAAATGACTATGGAGGAAGAGGAGCGGACGTGAGTATGGAGGAAGAAAGGTTTCTCTCGGACAAGACTATGGAGGAAGAGGACTGTCAGATTAACACGTCCCCATTATCTGGGTACGGGGGACTCAATGGAGGAAGCACGGCTGGACATGACTATGGAGGAGAGAGGGACGGACATGACTATGGAGGAAGAGGACGGATTCCTTCCCCCAGACCCCACGGACATGACTATATTGTGGACGGACATGGACTATGGATGGGAGAGGCAGGACATGTGATGGGGGGTCACTGGGTGTAAATAGGAAATCTCCTAGATTGTAAGTAGAAGAGGATCAACCCTCTTGTATTGAACTGTATTGTCTCCCGTCATGCTGTAAACTGCTGAAAAAACTGATGGCGCCATAAATCCTGTATTATAATAATAATAACATCTTATTTGGTCTTGCTGCCACTTCCACCAATGTCTTCTCTCTGCTCCTGGCTCACCTCTCACCCATCAACAGAGCTTCCTGTGTGTACATTGCTTCACTTCCTGTCTGTACCCTCATCCCTAGTGCTGTCTGTACCTGACATCACTTCCTGTCTGTACCTGACATCACTTCCTGTCTGTACTGACATCACTTCCTGTCTGTCTTCCATAGAGACTTCCTGTCTGGGTAGAAGTGAGATCCCCACCTTGTGGAGCTCAGAGGAACTGCAGCCCCGAGAAGCGTCTGGTAGTGTGACCCCGGCCTTGTGCTGGGTGTGTATGGACTGTAGATCCTTATAGAGGGGTCACCTCCACCCCCCCACCAAGGGGGACAGAAATATATGACTGCCTAGTCCAGCCTTCTCAGCCAGGGGTCCTCCAAAGGATTTTCAGGGTTCCTTCAGCAATGAACAATTCCTGTGTGAATCTGTCAGATTACAAGTCCCCATTATCTGGGTAAGGGGGTGTCAATCATCGCACGTCGCTGACATTTATAAATCTAGAGAAGAGTATGAAATGTTCTGCAGATGACATTTCCCTCCCGGATTCCTTCCCCCAGACCCCACAGTACATAGCGCCCCCTCCTGTATTGTGGGGGGACTCTGGAAATGAAGTTTTATCGGCAGCTCAATGTGTGTCATTATCGGTCACTCTGCTGTCACCCCATCCGGTGTTCTCCCAGGTTTGTGTTAGTAGAAGAACATCATGTGACCGCGTATTCCTGCTCTCACACTCAGCCGATGCGGGGCCGCTGTGTTTTTCCAAAGTCCTGCTTGTTGCATTTTTGCTGCAGGTTTGGTGTGGTAAGAAAACGCTCCAAGAACGCCCCTCCCCATTGAAATCAATGGAAAACACGGCAAAACGCATCAACAATGCCCCAGGGTGTGTTTTTGGTGCGGATTTTGAGTCACATGATCTTAAGAAGTGCAATGCAAACACGGTAAAAAACATGGCAGAAATGCAGCAAAAAGTCATACGTGTCCCGCGGATCAGTGTGGGAGGAGCCTTCATGTCACTTTTGTTTGAGAAGTGAGAAAAACAATTCATAACCCCTCCCCCACCTCAACAAAACGCATCCCAGACTCCTACACACTGCAAAACCAGCTCTGGCAGTGAGAGGGTTAATGTGGGCTAGATGGGATCCCTCTGCTGGGTGACATTAGAGCTCCCCCTAGCTGCAGCCTGGTAATAACATTGCTGGGAGGTCTCTTCATTTCTCTGCTCCATACTTCCCGTCTTTATATCTGAATTCCATCTTTATATGAGCAGAAAATGAATGGAATAGTAAATCTAATCATAATCCCGCCCCACAGTACTGCTCACTCAAGTCCCTCTGCCCCCACAGAGTACTGCTCACCAAGTCACCGCCCCCACAGAGTACTCCCTCACTCTGCTCACATCCCCCCCTGCGGCTCTCTCCTCCGCTCTGCTCACATCCCCCCTGCGCTCTCCCTCCCTCCGCTCTGCTCACATCCCCCCTGCGGCTCTCCCTCCGCTCTGCTCACATCCCCCTTGCGGCTCTCCTCCGCTCTGCTCACATCCCCCCTGCGGCTCTCCCTCCGCTCTGCTCACATCCTCCACGCGCTCTCCCTCCGCTCTGCTCACATCCCCCATCTGCTCTCCCTCCGCTCTGCTCACATCCCCCCTGCGGCTCTCCCTCCGCTCTGCTCACATCCCCCCTGCGGCTCTCCCTCCCTCTGCTCACATCCCCCCTGCGGCTCTCCATCCGCTCTGCTCACATCCCCCACGCGGCTCTCCCTCCGCACTCTGCTCACATCCCCCCTGCGGCTCTCCCTCCGCTCTGCTCACATCCCCCCTGAGGCTCTCCCTTTACTCTGCTCACATCCCCCCTGCGGCTCTCCCTCCGCTCTGCTCACATCCCCCCTGCGGCTCTCCCTCCACTCTGCTCACATCCCCCCTGCGGCTCTCCCTCTGCTCTGCTCACATCCCCCCCCTGCGGCTCTCCCTCCACTCTGCTCACACACATCCCCCCTGCGCTCTCTCCCTCCACCTCTGCTCACATCCCCCCTCGGCTCCCCTGCGGCTCTCCCCCTGCGGCTCTCCCTCTCTCATCCCCCCTGCGGCTCTCCCTCCACTCTGCTCACATCCCCCCTGCGGCTCTCCCTCCACTCTGCTCACATCCCCCCTGCGGCTCTCCCTCCACCCTGCTCACATCCCCCCTGCGGCTCTCCCTCCGCTCTGCTCACATCCCCCCTGCGGCTCTCCCTCCGCTCTGCTCACATCCCCCCTGCGGCTCTCCCTCCGCTCTGCTCACATCCCCCCTGCGGCTCTCCCTCCGCTCTGCTCACATCCCCCCTGCGGCTCTCCCTCCGCTCTGCTCTGCTCACATCCCCCCTGCGGCTCTCCCCCTCTGCTCACATCCCCCCTGCGGCTCTCCCTCCCTCTGCTCACATCCCCCCTGCGGCTCTCCCTGCTCACATCCCCCCTGCTCTCATCCCCCCTCTGCGGCTCCCCCCCTGCGGCTCTCCCTCCGCTCTGCTCACATCCCCCCCTGCGGCTCTCCCTCCGCTCTGCTCACATCCCCCCCTGC